GGGGGGGGAGAGAGAGAAAGAAGCAGAGACAGACAGAGACAGAGAGAGAGAGACAGAGAGAGAGGGACAGAGACAGACAGAGAGAGAGACACACAGAGAGAGACAGACAGAGTGTGAGTGTGAGTGTGTGTGTGTGTGAGTGTGTGTGTGAGTGTGTGAGTGTGTGTGTGTGTAAGTGTGTGTGTGAGTGAGTGAGTGAGTGAGTGTGCGTGTCTGTGTATGGAAGGGGTGGGGGTGTTAAAGTCAAACTTAAAGTGTGTATAGATGGGAGCACCTTTGTAAAAATCGTTTCAACATTTTTCACTCACCATATGGCATTTGTATAATCTGAAATTAACACACACTCACACAAGCACACACACATATATACACACACACACACACACACACACTCACACACACACACACACACACTGTACACACCCACACTCACAAACACACACATACACACACACACACACACACACATCCACACTCACCCGAGAGTCTGGGTCTCTAGTGGTGTCCAGAAGGTCCAAAATCTCCTCGTTGTACAGCTGAAAGCAGAAACGGCATGAAATATTTAGTTTTCGTAAGAGTTTTTGTAAGAGTTTTATGGCACTTGCAACACAATAAGGTTGACCTAATTAGACTGGACAATTACACACAGAAACGGCATGATCTAATTAATTTTACTTTAGTTCCAGAAAGAGTTTTACGGCACTTGCAACACTACAAGGTCATATAAGTGCCGAAGAGTAGAGGTGTTACAAGAGAGTAACAAACATAAAAAGAAGGAGGAGAGATCAGGACTATAGATGTTTGGTAGGAAAGAAGAAACAAACCACACCAAAGCACCCGCCAACCACCCACTGACCTCATTAGGGTGGACAATTACACACAGAAAGTATAGTAGCCCTTGGCCATGGCCTAATTAGTCAATAGTAGGCAATAACCACTTCTGGAACTTTAGAGCTTTCAACGGACAATCCTTACACATATGCCCACATACATACAAATGCTCTCTCTCTCTCTCTCTCGCTCTCTCTCTCATATTGTCCCTTCCTCAACACACACAAACACACACAACCTGCTTCCACCCCACACACACGCACGCACACACACACACACACACACACACACACACACACACACACACACACACACACACACACACACACACTCACACACACACCATACCTCCATGAACTGTGCTGTGACCTTGAAGTCTGGCGCCGGTTCCCCGTTCTCAAAGGCCTGCCGTCTCCTCTCCTCTATGCCCAGGAACAGATGGTCCACGGCGCGGGGGATGATGCCTATCTCGTCTGTGACGGCGCTGAGCACACTGTCAAACCCTGTGCCCATAGTGTACGTCTTGCCGGATCCAGTCT